AACATCTTCAGCTCCTACGTTAAATTTCCACCGGGCCTCCCACCTCTACTTAAGGCTATCAGATTTAGAAAATAAAATGGAAGAGGCGCAAGTAAACTGAGATCAATAGGGAACAGCCTTTAGTGTAAAGAAGCCCCCAAAACATGGTAACTACTTATGGTAATTTTTTAAAATCTGAAATTCAAATTTAGCAGGGTTGTGGTTCCAGTTAGCAACCACTTTTCAGGCCTGCTCTCCTAGGCCAACACGGGAGCAACGAACGGACCCCATTTCAACCTCCGGGCTCACGTGAGCCCCCCAGCTCTCGCTGCTCAGATCACAATTCCTCTGCAATCCTGCCCTGTCATCTCCTACCTCCACTGATGGATGGAGACCGCAGAGACCCATCTGAGAAAGCCAAAAGAGCCCTGCCCTGCATCCAGGCCTCTGCGCCCCCTCAGCACAGCAACAGCGCCTTTCAAATCCGTCACAGCGAAGACCAGGCTGATCACTGAGTTCACCTCATGTTTAATCTTGGGGAAGGGGAGGAAGCCCCCCTGCCTCTCACAAAGCCGGTGGCTCTGTTTCTCTGGTGCTGATCAGAGGCCCCGGAACAGTCTCCGTGGGATCCGGCCCTGTGTGCAGTTAAGACGATCATGTATCTCGCTCACACGGATGTGTTTCCTGGGAGTGTCCTGAAAGCCCAGTGCAAAGCTGTCTTCCGCTGCCTGCCAGATGCACATGCCCCTGGATGCAAAGATCTTTGGTGGATGGCCAGATGACTGGGAGTGTTCTGTGTCTCATTCCATCTTCTAAGCGCCCCCCATGGATGCCTCTGAATGTCCTGCAGATCAATGGCCCCACTGTCCGGTGGAGGTGAGGCGATAAGGAGGCAGCGGGAACCCTGGGACTGGATTCACTTCCTCTGCACCGGAGACTAGGGCACCCACCCACCCACGCTCCTCCCGCCCGGAGGCGGGAGGGACTCAGAGGCCCCTTTGAAGGAAGGATAAAGGGATTATGACTCAGCGGGCTGACTTTGTCACTGAGTGTCTGCTTGACTCTTCTCCCAATCTGACTTTTCTGACCATGCGAATCTCCGTTTCTCCTGAAAATGCTTCCAGTTACCCCTGGCGGGCCTCCCCGCCACCGGCCTGTTCTGCCTTAATCCTGGCTCACCCCTGGATGAGCTGAGAAGGGGCAGCTGGGAATGTTTGCAGCCAGCCTGGGATCGTGGCCATTCCCCTAGAAGGCTGTGTGTAGCTCTAGACAAGTCACTCCAACTGCCTGAGGTTCAGTTTCTTCCACTTGTGACTCAGAGATAATCATTCCAAGCTCACAAAAATTTAAGACCAATTCTATCTTATATGTGACGTTAGTGGTGGGCGTGGAGAGCTAAGGCTTTAGAGAATACTCGGGGTTAGGCTGTCCCCTGGCTCTGATCTCTTCGTAGAGATCATGCTATTTCATCCTCAGAGCTTCCCATGCAGTTATTTTTTTTTCCTTGGTACCGGGGATCGAACCTGGGTCCTTGCGCTTGCGAGGCAGGCGACAGAACCCATGCAGTTGTTATTAAACCCTATTTTATGTAAGAGGAAACCTGGATGCACTGAGTGCTTACTCAGCACGTACTCTGCACTAGACCCGTGATGAAGAACCTACCGAACTGTGCCGCAGTGGGCTGTCGGCGTCATGAAAGCTCTAAAAGGTTCGCCATCACTGCACTAGACTCTATCCCAGAAGCCAAGAGTGCCATTAGTAAAACTGATCCAGTCTTTCCCCCACTGGGAGTTTATATTTAGCTGAAGGAGACAGATATTGATAAAATTAAGGTGCATCTAAAATATGATCACCGCAGACATGAGTGCTACGAGCAAACTGGAGAGAGAACACCAAGAAGACTGCCTTTCGCTCCAGCTCCCACCCTCCCACTCAGGTTGGGATGTCAGTGTGCCCCCCAGGGACGGACAGGCACCCTGAGTCGGACTAAAGCCTTAGCTTGAGATCTCCAGAAGCAGAGCCTGAGGTAAGAGTCTGTGTGAAGGTGGGTGATTCAGGAGATAACACAGGGAAACCCTTGCAGAGGGGGGAAGAGGGGACAGAGGGGAAAAAAGGCCCGCGGAAAGTGAACAGTGGAGCCAGGACCCACGCCGGGAACTCAGCTTACTCCTGCCTACGAACCGGGACATGCATAGCAGGGGCCTCTGACTTCTGCTGCCTACGGGGCGAGAGACCCAGGTATGTATTCCCAGCTCTCACAGGTTGCTTGGGGATGGATGCTCCCGAAGGCATAAGTTCCTTAGGGCTTCTGATGCACCGTGTCCAGCAGCAGCTGGGGCTTAAGTGTCCAGGGAAGCAGTCACCAAGGAATAGGGGTGGTGGCAGCTGGTCACTGGGCGCGTGTGCACAGATGTGTAAGGCAAGGCCGTGCCAGGCACCGGTGGTGTCTCCTGCTGGTGGAAGGAAGGGCCTCTGCACAGGCCCTGGGTGGGAAGAAACAACTTGTTCCCACCCCATCCCATTTATAATAAATAATTCATCCCCGATCTCATTTAGGATAAGCAGTGGAGCCCTGCTCACTCACGCGCTGACTCCAGAGCCTTCATTTCTGAGACTTCCTGTGCCTGTTCCAGCAGGGTCCAACAGAGGATTGGCCCCAGGCCAGCTTCCAGAACCAGGATTTAATCACAGCGTGGATGCCCAGCGCTTTGAAAGCCACAGACTAGGTGTTTAAAAACGCAGACAGGAAGCTTCCCCAGGCCTGGCTTTCCCTTCTGCAACTGCTCCAGGGGACAGGGACTCATCAAATCCCCAGCCTCCTTTCATCTTTTCTTTGCTTTTCCAGCTCTTTAGCCATAGGCTGTGGGTTTTTTTTCCCCCTTCCAGATAATTATTTATACAGAAGGAGAATAATTAGCAGCCCAAGAAACGCTGCTTTGTTCTCGGCTCCCTGCCTCTGCCGCCTGCCTCTCTTGGGTGAAGTGGGGCTGCTTGGAAAAGGGACATCAAAGCCTGCTGAGGAGCCTTTCCTTGGAGAGCTACTTCCTTTGTCTGGTGGAAATGCAGAGGAGAGAATCTTGCCTTGTTTGTCTCTGCGCCTGACCTTGGCCATTTCTCTGGCCTGGAGCGGCTAGAAGAATACAGTGCTTCCCAGGGTGGGATGGTTTCCTCTCGGGGTCAATCTCTCAAGGTGGATCCTTCTGCCTTTTGGTCGCCTGCTTCTGAAGGGTGTGTTCTGCCATCTCAGAACATGTTAGTGTTGATAGAGAAGGTTCCAGAGGCACAGGTTCCAGTGCGTTTGTGGCTGCAGGTTGGAAGCTGGCACTGACGTGAAAGGATGGGGAGACTGGGGTCTGGGGTGACCCGGGGCGGTGTCCCCTCTGCAAACCCGCCTGCCTTCGCCGTGCGATAGTGGGGGCCTGACGTGGCCAAGCCCCTTAGTTTTCTAAAAACGTCAGATGTATGAATTTTCATAGATGACATTTTCTAAATTGTATCATGCTGGCAGGCTAAACACAATGCCAAAAAAGGAAGGGATGGATTTAGCCCATAGTCACTGATTTGAAATGTTGGATCTGTCCCAATCCCATCATCGTACAGGGAAACTGAGGCTCCGTTAATTACCCAAGATCATATGTAAACGATGGAGCTAGGACTGGGTCTCATCACTTAGCCATCACTGTTGTGATGGACACATAGCTTACACTCAAATAGCTGTCGACTAAATAATTAGTAACAATATTTCTGTTGATCACCAATTTTGTGCATGTTTTGCTAGGTGTTCTATATCTTAGGTATATTCATCAGGGCTGTTTTGGTTTAAAGGACAGAAATATAATTTAAGACTGTTCAAATAAACAAATGCTATGTTGGCTACTGTAGGCAAAGGCGTATGCGTTTTAGGCATGGCTGTGTGTAGGTGTCCACACCAACAGCCAGTTTGTTTTGTCATTCTACGCCCCGTTATATTCATTTCTATTTTCCTTGAGTCAGTATGGTGGGTGACTCCATTGACCATAAATAACTCTAGGACTGCTCCTTTCCAGCTGAAAATTAGAGTGGGTAAAAGAACTTAGTAGTTCCAAAATTTCATCTGAAGCCCCAGAGCTGACTCTTTTAGGAAAGCCAGGGCTCTCCGTGGGATCGAACGCTGCACACACTGAAGCCACAGGTGCCCTCTCTAACACAGGTAATCGTCACCCCTGGGCAGTGGGACGCACAGTCTCTTATGAGGCCAGACACGGGAGTAACGATATGGCATCCTCTACTCAAAGGAAACCGTGTGGATTGTCTCAGGAAGTGTTTCTTAATCAGGGCACTATTTTCCCCTTGAGGGATACTTGGAGACTCTTCAGCTGTCTCCACAAGGACACACTATGAACACTAATGGGAAAGACCAAGGATGCTACTGAGTATCATATAGGTCACAGGAAAGTTCCCCACTGCAAAGGACAGCCCACGCCAAAATGTCAATAGCACTGTGGTGAAGGAACTGTTCTCAGAATACACAGACAAGGAACCGTAATGCACCTGTATTCAAAGCCAATAGACAAACAGCAGCCACTCCGCCCCCAGGACTTTGCCCTTGTACTTACAATAGGTTGGTGTAGACCGAGGGCGCCCAGTAATCCTACCTCCTAGAAGGGATGACCTGTATGCTGGTGCCCAAAGTGAGTGAAAACTGGCAGGTGGAAGCTCTCCCTCTATGAGGTCAGTCCAAGTTCTGGCAAGCATGATCTGTGGGGGCCACAGGTGCCCACAGGCAAGGCGCTGAGGGCCCCAGAGAAGTTGGCATCGGAGGGTGCTCTGCAGGACCGCGGATGGGGCTCCAGGGCCCAGGGGAACAGTCAAGACTGGACAAGGCTTGGCCCCTGGGCTTTACCCAGGCCAGCATCGCTAACAAAACCAGGGGCACAGGGTGAAAGGCAGGCAGAAGGCAAAGCAGAGGCCCAAGGGGAAGATGGGGCTAGGGACAAAGTCAGCCCCAAGGTGCGGGCCACAGAAAGTTAATGTGGGCTCACCTGCAAGTGGGACTGGTCCCTCGTGCTGAGGTGGGGCGGGTGTGAGTGGCGATCCGGTCTCTACGGGGATAGAAGGGAGGAAACACGTGACGGTATCTTGGTTAGTAGAGTAAAGCCACAGCTTTTTAAAAATGCACTTTATTTCAAAATTTCTAATGGAGAAATTAAAATTGTATGCAATCAAATGTATAATGCTTTTTCTTTCGGTGCCCAACATGAGACCTAGGGGCTATACAAGTACTCAGTGCCTGTTCTACCACTGAGCCACACACCCAGTGCCCAATAAATCACAGACATATGCCAAGCCCAGACTTTAAAAAGATATTTATATGTGTATTTATCTATGAGTATTTGCAGGTGTTTGTGTGTATGTGTTTATGTTTTTGAGTGTTGGTGTGTTTATATTCTGATTCAGTCCAAACAGGATATGAAGTAAGTGATTCTCAATCTAAGATGCCCATGGCACACAGTAAGGAATCAATCATTTCTTTGTTAACTGGTGGTGAAGCATATGGAGTGAGCAGAAAGCTCATTTCTGGCCATAAAGGTAAGAAACTAGTGCTCACCTAGGATCAGCAAATGAAGACTCTATTTTGTGCTTATTTGACTGTCATCTTAATGGTTTGTTTATTCACTTAATCACTGCATTCGTGTTTCAATTAAGCACATACTATGTGCTCAGCACTCTCCTACTGCTGGGGATATAGCTGGAGGAACAAAACAAGAACAAATTTTCTTAGAACTCACGGTTGAGTTAGGAGAGGAAGACACTAAAGAAATAAAAAGAAATTATTTAACGGATGGCTGTTGTATTTGTTAGCTTTCCGATCTGTGGGACAAAATACTTAACGACCACAATTTAAAGGAGGAGAAAGGTTTATTTTGGCTCATGGTTTCCATGGGTTTAGTCCATGGTTGGCCAGCTCTATAGCAGGAATGGCACGGTAGATGGGCCTGGCAGAGGAAAGCTGCTTGTGGAATGGTGGCCACTGAACAGACAGAAAAGGAGCCGGGGGTGTTTCCAAGCCATGACCCCACTGACCTACCTCTTTTGATCAGGGTCCCTCTCTGAATATGAGACTTTTGGGGGACATTTCAGATCTAAACCATAACAGTTGCTGTCTTTATGAGGGACTGTTAGCTCATCTTCACAAAACCAGCTGGATTTGCTAAGGATAATAAAGTTATGTCCACTGGATTGTCTTTGGAGTACTCTACTTTTCCCCCCAACCTCTCCAATACTCTAATGAGTAAAAATGTCATTATAGGCCATCAGAGACCAAACCAAGAACTACACATTGGGAAAAAGAAGAGGCTAAAATGTAATATTCTTTGTCGTGAACCCTCTACAATTTGAGCTGTAATCTACAGTCACAGTTTGCACAGAAGGCAGCCAAACAGGAAAAGAGTAGATGGAAACCACAGATATTACAGCAAAGTGGGGAGGGGTACACATTTGAGATTTTAGAGTAGCTGGAAAAACGGGAAACATGGTTGACCAGAGATGGAACCAAATAACTACCCCATGTGACACTGCAGAGAAAATGGTGCTGAGTCTAGCGCCTCCCATTCAGTCCCTGACTGTCCCCCTCTGTCTCTGTGACCTTGGGCACTGTAGGTTACTTTGTACTCTTGGCCACCTCAGGAATCTCCTCCTCAAAGTGAAACTAGCCATCTTCACCTGCCAAGAGGGTGATCCGAGCACCCACAATTCACTTAGAGAGCTGCTCGCCCTACCATGCTCCACACCCCTGCCCGGCCGAAGAGCGGGGAGTGTGGAGCTCGTGAGGTGGTGTAATTCATTGCTCTCTTCACGCGCCGGGGGGCTTCTCATTTCTGCCACTTGTTTACACCTGTATTCTCAGCACTTCTGTCATTCCACATGAGTAATTTCCAAATTAAAACCGCTGCTCAGCTGGAAGGCCTTGAAGTCTTTTGTTTATTAATCTGAATAGCATTCACGTCAACATATGTTGTTTTCTGGTTGTGCCCAGCAAATCGTCCCAGGGCTGGAATCAATGGTCTTTGGTATTAGAACAGCGTAACACTGGAAAAGAAGAAATGTAGAGTAAACATAGAATCGTGGCATAGTCAGGGTGAGGAACACAGGGCCTGGTGACCATACCCATGTAATCCTACCAAAGGGTTGGCACAGACCAAGTTCTGGGATGCTGAGACCATGACCTAACTCTGGAAAGTGAGCGACAGGTGGAGGTTCATTGCGCCCTTGACTGGCTCTACCCATCAGCGCCATGTTCAGTCCCCACATCTTCACAGCCTCTCATCAGGGGACCTGGAACACCAGCTGCAGGCCTTGACCTTGGGGGCTCAGGGCCAGCCAGGATATCCTGACTCCAGAAACCATGGCACATAGCAAGAGCCAGAGAAGCAAGCCTATGCTTTCTCCATCTCTTGGTCATACTGCATATGAGAGAGACAAAATGTGAACTCAAATTAGCTCTAGCCAAAATAAAATTTGAAAGGGGGTGTAAGATGTATTAGCTCATGTAACAAGAAGTCAAAAGAGTAGGACCCATTTGTTCAGACTTCACTGGGCTCAGGAGCTCTGGATGTATTGTCTGGATGTATCTCTACTTGGCGACTCGGCTGTCTCTCCTGGCATGGAGTTTCTCCTCCACTACGTTCTCAACACCTATAGCCACTGACCCTCTGACCTACATTTATCCTAGCAACTCAGCATCCCCTGGTAAAAGAAAGGGCAACCATTCCTGAAACCCTTGCTAGAAAAGCTCAAGGGAAGACCTGATTGATCCAATTTAGATGCACTCCTGTTCTCAGCTGGTCACTATGGATGAGACCAGGTCACATGCCCGATCTTGTTGCTGCAGTAGATGATCCCAAAGGTTATTCTTCCCACCCTGGATGGAAAAGTTTTCTGACTAGAGATAAATGTCACCAGAAGAAAGAAGGTAGACCCTGGATAGAAAACAGAATAAACATGAATTATATCAAATTATGCTTCATGGATTCCAAGTCCCATAAAGGGATCCACCCACACAGGGAATAAAAGTTCCATGCTTGAATTAGCTTTGAAAACACTGCAATCTCAAGAGCCTTGCACTTTACAGTTTCTGAGAAGTCCTGGGATGAAGAGACATCTTTGAATTTGTTGAGTCTAGTATTTCATGAAATATTTGATCATCTAATCTTTTTGTTTCTCAGAATCAACTGAAAATCTCAGAAAATTGGTGAAGAATTGTAATGCCAAAAACACCAAAGCCAAACAGTCTGGGGTGGGGTTGAGTATGGAGTCCCTGCGCTAAAATAAAGGCTGGAGTTGGGCAGGGGTGCATTAGGAACGAACAAATCAGTAACAAGTTAAAACCATCAGAAGGATAATCTTCCTCGGCTGAGGGGCACAGTGCTTGGGTGTGACAGAGTGACCCCAACAAACCGGGGCTAAGGTCTGGCGACAGTGCCTCCGACTCAGGGACCATTTCAGTGGAGCCACTGAGAGGTGGAGATGGGTATTCTTCTGGTAAGGGTAGAGAAGCTGTGCTAGCTTTTTGTCACAGTGAGAAAATACCTGAGGAAATCAGCTTAGGAGAGGACAGGCTCATCTGACTCAGAGTTTCATAGGTTTCAGGCCATTGTCAACTGCCTTTATGGCTTTTAAACCCAAGACAAGGCAGAAACATCATGGCAGAGGAAAGCTACCCACCTCATGGTGACCGGGAAGCAGAGACAGAGGGCCCGAGATAGAGGGCACACATTTCAAACCATTCCCCAGCCGCCTCCCTCCCCCCCAACAGCCATTCAGCCATGAAGTCGTCAATAAACAAATCCACGGATAACATCAGTGCCCTCACAGTCCAATCGCCTCTCTCAGTCCCACCTCTGAACCCTGCTGCTTTGGGGACCGAGCCCCCACTAGAAGAGTCTTTCAAGGACTTTTCATCTTTTAGCCCTGGCAGAAGCGCCTGGCCCAGGTGAGGCCTCCCTAAATGGGCCCACCTCCTCCCAGTTGCACTCCAACCTTCCAAGCCAAACTTGGGCAGCTCCATCAAGGTGGAAAATCCACAGCCAGCTCAAACAGGACTTTCAGACTCCGGCTGGGATTCGGGGGGCAAAACCTGTACTTGCTGGGACTCAACCAGGAGCACAGAGACAGTTCTGTGGGTTTTAAAGGGAGACTCTGGTACAGGTGGCGGATGAGCTGAGCACCTGAATGGAGACAGTGAAAAATCACAGAGACTAGCACAGAAAGAGCCCCCAACCTTGGCTGGGGTTCCACATAGAGAGACAGTGTTACCAGGGTCTTGGGTCCAGGACTCCAGCAGAAGCTGGCATCACAGTGGGCCAGCCCTACAGGCAGTGGGCTGCGGGGAAGACACTGGAAGTGTCAACAAATACTTGTGCCTACATATGTGTGTGTGTGTGTGTGTACATAGGTGAGCACATGTGTGTCCCTTCTTTATCCTCTGCAGTCTTTGCATCAGCACCTGCCCTGCCGGACCCAGAAAGAAGCCAGTGGATACCGCAGCCTCCAACACACCCGGGAAAATGAGCTGTTTGGCAACTCCTTGCTCTGCAGAAGAGAGCAGAAAAAGACTAGGAGGTTCTGGACCAGCGTGGAACCCAGTTCCAAAGTTCAAGATCAGGTGGTTTCCCAGATCCCTCACAGATTGAGGTAGAAGGTGGTGCAAGGACAAATAAGCAACAGAAAGCCGTGGGGCCAAGAAGTGAGAAATTAGACAGACCAAGGCTGCTATGTCAAAATATCAGCAACTGAAAGGGAGGTCACCCTCCCTCACCCCGAGGCCTCAGACGTGCGCAAAACCAAAGGTTCACGACCCTGGCCTGTATTCAACTTCATCTGCATTGTAGTTTTGATTCCCCTACCGGGCTTTGGACACCATGACACTTACTCTAAACACCTCCTCTGACCAAACACTGGCCTTCCCAAGGGGTCAATTACCCTGTTGGCCTACGACTCCTGTCAGTCTCCAGACAGAGGTCCTGGTGTAATCCCACGGCCTCAAGGAACCCAGGACCTCCCCTGATGGGCCAGTCTGCTCCCACCCGTGGGAGTGTACCTTCATTTCTTTTGCTTTAATAAATCATGCTATTGCTACTCCTTTCGAGTGTTCCGCTCAATTCTTTGCTCAGGATAGCAGAGATCTTGGAAACAACTCCCCTGAGACACCCGCTTCCCCCATCTGATAACCAGACCGGGTGAGGCAAACTTTCCCTCTTAAAGGGTGAGGTAGGAAATATTTTCTGTTCTGCAGCCTGTTGGGCCTCTGTAGCAGATCGACTGCACGCAAAATGCTGTGTCTTCTAATGAGAAATGGTGAGTGAGGATACCGTGGTGCACACCTGTAATCCTAGCACTTGGGAGGCGGAAGCAAGAGGATTGCCGCAAGTTCGAGGCCAGCCTTTGGCTACACAGTGAGCTCCAGGCCAGCCCGACCTACAGAGAGAGACCCTGTCTAAACAAACAAGCAAACAACAACAACAACAACAACAACAACAACAACAACAAAAGAAATGGAGGGCCAGATGTGGGCCATGGACCATAGTTCCCAATCCCTCAAACATAAAGCCACCCTGAGAATGTCTGAGGGACAGGGGTCGCCCTTGTACTCCACACACAGAAAGTGAACGTTTTGCTTCTTTCAACAGGAACAGAATCCTGCACTTGCACAGATCGCTGGTTCACCCAAGAACAATTTAGAAATATTTCTATGCTTACAGTATTTTCCCCTGGATTCTGCCTTGCCACATCTGCCCCGGACTGTCACAACAAGCCACCACACTGTCGCTACACACGCCTCTAAGTTGCAGAAATAGGTCACAGCCTTGGCTCTCACGCACCTCCTCCAACCTGCTCCAGGACAACATGCAATTTCTGCTTTGAAGAACCCAAGGACGAGGGCCTTGTGAGCAACAGGGGGCTGATTTTGAATCGTTAATAAACCACCAGTGGAGGGCTGATCACCCATTGTTTCAAAGGGGCTAATTTTGTCTGTAGGTTGCTGTGAATAATTCTGTGACATATCCCCACGGGGGACTGAGGATGGAGCTGGGAGGGAGTAGAAAGGTGTTCCAATTGGAACTGGTCCCAAGTGGTACAGAGGACTGTTTAACCCAGGGAGACACTGTCCCCATCCCCAACCCCAGGGTACAGCCTGCCGGTCAGCACTCCGCTTGCCTGACAAAGGGGTTGGTTTGAAACTTTGACATCACCATGAAAAAAAGTCTCTTCTCAAAGGCTAAGTTCTTCAGAAAACTCATTCTTCGCAATTTCCAAAGGAAATGGGTATTTGGGCATTTGCACATTCCCAGCCGAGGTGGGCAGAGTGTACACTGAATGACTCTGACCTTCTCCATCTGCCTTGCACTTCAGGTTGGTCCCTTTCTCTATGTGCCCTGACTTCCTTTGACCCATCACCCCATAACCCTAACCCTCAAGAGGACAAAGTATTTAGCTCAGTGGTTCTGCTGCCTGCCTCACAAGCGCAAGGACCCAAGTTCGATCTCTGGTACCAAAAACAAACAAACAAACAAAGGAGGACAAAGTGACAACCACGACTTGCTCACTTGCTTGGCTAAGAGAGTAGTAACAATTTGCTGGCCACATGGCATCTACTACTCCCAGGACTCCGGGAATACCCTTGTCCCAGCCCTCATTAGAGAGGGCAACGGTCACAGAGACCCCATGGGAGCCGATACTGTGTTGACCTCTCCCGGTTTTAGAAGCTGCCCCTTTACCATAACCATGCATATAAAAGAGGTAGAGGAACTGAAAGGAGAGTTTACCAGGCCATCAATGCTAGCTTAGTCCCTAAAGCCAGGAGGTCCACTCCTCGTCAAGTTGTATTTTCCTCCTTCTCAGCTTTGGGCACTCTCATGTTTCCCTCAGCCTCGTGTCTTCTTGGAACCACCCTTTCCCAGTCCCACTAAGCCCTCCAGGTGGCCCTCATTGCTACTCACACCCTGGTTTATCTTGATCTTGTGGACAAACATTTCTTTTTCCTTTTTTCTTTATCGATACATTTCAGGTATACAGTACAGTGACATGCAGCATTGGGATTTTGCACCTTTACATGATGTATCTTGGTTTTCATTTTTCCCCATTCCCCTGCCCTCCCTTCACCCCTTCCACCCTTCCCTATTTACAGAGACTATGTTTCCATCTTTTTCCTTTTCTCTTATTTTTTCCTTTCCCTTCTTAGCTTTCCCCTACCCCTCCCATTTCGCCTACACCTTTAGACATTGTTTCCTAGACAATATCAATTATACATTTTGATTCTTATTTACACTTTTATCTTATCACACCAGAGAAACTATTTGGTATTTACACAAATGTGTCCTATTAATTTCACTTAAGAGTATGTCCTCAATGTGCATTCATTTAGCTATAAATGACTCTAGTTTCTCATTCTTCGTGGCTGAGTAGTACTCCATCTTATTTTTTAGGAAAACACATCTTCTTTATCCAGTCTCCAGTTGATGGGCAATTAGGCTGGTTCCAAGTTTTAGCTGTTACATACTGTGCTGCATTGCCTATATGTCTCCAAAAATTACCAGCATTAGAATCTGGTCTTCACAAGAATAGGTTGAGCATACTTGGGACCAAAAATACTTCAGATTTCAGAGCTTTGTGGATTTGGGAATACTTGAATAAACTTTGAGTGTCTCTAATCTGAAAATCAAAGATATGAAATGCTCTAAAATCTGTAACTTTTAGTGTCATGTCAACATTTTAAAAGATTCAGGTTGCAGAACACTTTGGGTTTTCTAGATTAGAGATCCTAAAGCTCGATTTCAAAGAGAGTTACTTTGGACTGAAATAATGTTCTGAAAGCAATACAATGCTTGAAAGCAGACACTCAGGTAGTATTTGCTCTGTGCCAACAGCATTCTGTACTGTGACAGTAATAAATAGGATTTATCTCATTTGCAAACTCTAGCTGCTTGGGAGTTCCTGCCTTGACATACATCCACACCCTACAAGGAAGAGTTCCCTGATTGATTAGTAATGTCTGCCCTGGGCATAGGTTAGGAGAGAGATAACACACTAGCTACATAGCTGCTCTTCTCACAGTAGGTGTTCAGCCATTACTTGCTGATATGGAGTGAGATGTAAAATGGTCATAAGTCAGGATTAGAACACCTAGAATTTAAAAACCAGCAGTGCTGCCTATCCGCTGTGTCTATATGGAGCAAGTTTTGAATCCTCTCTGGCCTCTATCACCTTAACTATTATGGAGAAAGTTTGAGACCAAAACAAAAACATTTAGCCAGGAGCCTCCAACCTTGCAAAATAAATGGCAAAGAAATTAATGGGTATTTCCCAAAGGAGTGTCAATTTCTCAAACAGGCTCCTGAAGAGACTGTAGTACATAGGGGATTAAGAGAGACTTTGTGTTCAGATTAATCCAAGCTTGGAGATGCTTGGAGAAATTGCAGAATGCCTCTGTATGGCGGTGTCCCAAGGTGGAGACAAAGACAACTTTGAGACAGTCTGCTGAGCATTAAGTAAGGTGCATCTTGTCAGTCCTTCAGCTGGGCTTCTGTAAGCATCTGATAAATCATAACTGTATTGATACTATCATAATTTTAGATGAGACAGGACACTGGCCTTCAGAGGCATCCTATTAACAGAGTGATCGTTAGTTACAGAGGACCATGGTTATTCTGTGGGAAGACACATTGCTTTTCAAATGGTCAGAGTAGAGTTTGGTTTTCTGTCCGCATGCTTTAGAATATGAGACCCAAGGGAAGGAGGGAATGTATCAAAGAGGGTTCTGATGTGGAAAGGGCTGGGGAGCTCAGGGAGGGATGTCCTCTAAAAGCCCGTCGTTTGAATGCCTGACTCAGAATGCCAAGAAAGCATCTCCATGGGACTTGGCATGCAGGCAGCTGTGCTGATGGGAGGCAAAGCCATTCTGAGATTTTTCTGTACTATTCTGTGACTCCGTGTACAGTTCGTGTCCCCTGTCGGGCCAATTACCGACTTAAAATGTTGTTAGCAAAAGGCAAGTATGTTCATTATGTAGCAGCTAGCACTCAGGCCCAGTGGTGGCCTATTTATGCTGTTTGAAAAGCCATTCTTCTGCAGCCCTTTGTGTGTGCATGTCACCCAAAGAGCTCCGGATCACAGATTCTTTCCTGTTGCTGCCCATCTCCTTTTCTGAGGCCCATCTATCACCCTCTCCCCCTCCCAGCATCCTCGCGGCAGGACTCCCTGGGATCTGGGCCTCGTTGTGACCTTGGACAGGTCATGGACCTTTCTGGCTCTCAGTTTGCCCACTGCAGTCTGAAATTACCGGGTAGAGCTGCTCTACGGTTCCACTCTGCACTTACAATCCAGGGAGTGATGATTCCATGCCCTAAAGCAAGCCGAGAGACTGAGTTCTCCCACATGCTCCCACCTGGCTTTGAGAGACCCAGTCTCTGCACTTACAGAAGCACAACTGATCACAGCTGAGGGTTTCAAAATCTGGATATATCTTGCAGAAATCCACATCCATAGGGCCCAGAACTCAGAACTTCAACAACCTGAAATATTGTATACTTATCTAGGCAAGTTACCGCTTTTGTTTTTTAAATCCTATGCTGTTTGATGGCAAGAAACACACACACACTGGCACTTTACAGTCAGTCAGCCAAGGCTGCTGTCCATCTTTACTCAGGTTGGTGGGTCCACCTTGTTTTTCCTAAGCAAACAAAGATGAACACGTCTCAGGCACAAGATTAGTTCCTCCGGTGGCGAAGGCTTTTCTGCACCTTCAAGCCAGTTTGACATCTAAAATCTTCACCTCATCAGGTGCCTGCTGCTCATGAACCTAGCTGTTCACTCTATCTGAGGTTGGCTCTTCTGATTTTATTTTCTCTCTCTTCTAGAATCACTTCCTGTAAAGTACAAAGCATAGATTTCCAGAGGGAAACTTAGGGAACCTAATTTCTTATTTAGGTAAAACATATCCCTTTATACCTCCCCCTTGCTCCGGGACAAACAGAAAGAGACAGAGTCACAAAGAGCCCCCTGTACTCACCCAATCTCCAGGACTGTGACTGCCCTCCAACCCAAAGGGAGAGGGGCCTTTCCTCCTCAAAGGAGAAGCTTCCTCTTTTCACTACAGCCCAAGCACCTCATTGTTTACTAATTGAATATGGCAGTGGTCTCCTTAGCAACCTCACACTCACAGGATTACAGCAGACAAGTCCCTGTTCAGGGTTCCAAGTTACAGAAATCCCAGCCTAGACCAGAATGTGGCTTCTCCCCAACACTGGTAAATAGAACATAATGAGGCGATTAAAAAAAAAAGCGAGGGATATAAAGCAGCTTCTCTCCAAGTAGCAAAGGAGGCTTGTTACACGATATAGAGGTTCTTGTGACCAGCGGGCTCATATACAGTGAACAGATCATCCCACCAGCACTCTTTCTAAATGAACTCAGTGTTAATGGGAAAAGACACCGGGCTTGCTATAGCTTTTGATTAAAGCATACAGATGATAAATGAGAGCGAGAGCAATGATAGATAGTGTCTGGCACCCACAAGGAAATCACTTGCAAAGTTTGAGTCATGGGACATGCTACTGACCTAGCAGACTAAGCAGTCAGGGGGCCTTACCCATTGTCGGTGTTTGGCATGGTGCCTGGCCTAGTGGCCGATGCCCCTAGTGTGTGCTGCTCAGACACACTCCGTTTGTGCTGTTATGTGGGTTGGAGCCTCACGGTAATCAATGAGCTAGTAACATCAATGTCCTACATGTTGCAGACAAGAAGAACGAGACCCTAAAAAAAGTCCCTGGGCTGAGGTTCTGCGGTCAGTGGCAGAGCCAGACAAGCTCTATTCCTAGTTCCACTGACATCAGTGCCAAAGCGCTGGACCACTCTATTCAACTATCTCAGCAGATGGTTGCTTTTGCTCCCAACTCCACGGGGAACAGAACAAGGCTAGGTTCCTCTCCAGGGCGCTCAGCCTTGCTTATCTGCCGACTTGGAAGAAGTAAGGGGCACCTGAAGATTCCCCTCAAGGAAATTCAAACATCGCATTGCTTTGAGAGTCCAGAACTCCATCTCCCTGCTCCGTTCCCCCTGGAAGTCGCCTCTCAATTCGAAGCTTGGATGACCCACTTTCCACATAGCTCATTCTGACTCATGGAGGAAGGGCTCACTCTCTGTTGCTTCTCCAACATATGTTTATCCAAATTGATCACAGTAACAGGGGATTGCACATCCCGGCATAGGGCTCCACTGCCCAGGCACGTTTTCCTGGCAGGGGACCCAAGTGGCCCACTGGGCTAGGAAATGGGGTGGGAGCAGGGCTCGTTTTATTGAGCCCTGGTGAGGAGCTGTCAGCCTCTTGTCATGGTGGGGGAGAGGAAGGCAAAATGTCGCTGTGAACCTCAGGCTGGAGTTGTGTCGTTTACGGCACGGATTCTCATGGGGCACCCCAGAAAGCAGGTGACGGAACAGAGCTGTGGCCTGAAGATACAGAAATTTACATATGGGCCGAAGCCTCCAGTCTGGGCTGACACTAAGCAGCATTTGGAAAACAGAAGCCACTTGGATTAGAAACCTCGGAGACATCCATGGATCCTCCCTCCATCTCAGCCGCCATGTCCTATGCGCATCAGTTTCCAGATCCTTTTGCTCGCTGGAGTTCTCTCATGATCACCTCTCATCCAGACCTTTCTCAATAACATCCTCATTGTTCCACACCTCTGCTAATGCTCTCTTTGATGCATCATCTCCTTTGCAGCTGGAGTGTTTTTCTCAGAAGATGGAAAAAATCTACTAAAATTCTTCTAGGACTTCCATCGTTTTTAGGTACTGGGTACTGAACCCAGAGTCTTGGCACTGAGCTATCTCCCCCGCTCTTCTTCTATCTTTGAGACAAGGTCTTGCAGCTGCTGAGGCTCAGCTGGAACTTGCCACCCTTCTGCCTCAGCCTCCTAGAATGCCTGGTTGCTAAGCCTGTACCACCATCCCCAGCTTCCTGCCTTCATCATAAAACAAAAGCCTGTAGCCTGGCATTCAATCCCTTCATGGCTCAGTGCTGGAGTCTCATTCCTTTGCACCAGGCCTTACTCTTTCTGGGAATCAGTGCACCTTCTCACCCGCTTCCTGCCGCGTATGCTGCTTCCCTTACCCACAGACGCAGGCTAGCCTGATTTCCTTTATGCAATTACCAAGACAATGCTTCACTCTCTCCCGGGGGACAGCTCTACCTCTCCAGGAAAGTCTTAGGTAACCATGACTTTTACGTCCACTCCCAAGAGGCTCAAAAGTATATCGTGCAAATTAAGAACACTAACACAGGTTACACTAATTAGATGCTAACCAAGATCACAGTGGCTTTTGAGATGGACACACAGGAATGTAAATTCTAGCCTTGGCCCTAGCCATGAGGTCTAACCACATTTAGCAAGGAACTAAACCATATTTAGGCTGGGTATTTTCCTCTGTAAAATGTAGACAATAATTTCGCCTACGTGACGTGACTGTTTTTAACTGGGTAAACAGCAAATGCCATGTCTTCCACACCGATGTGTTTAACAAAGAACAGTAATAATGCTGAGGGTGATGGAGAGCAACAAAAACAATAACCCAAGTAGCTTAGTCATTTTTCTCATCACTGCAACAAAACATCCAATCACCTCAATTTAAAGGAGGAGTTTATTTTGGTTCATGGTTTCAGACCACAGTCGTCTAGCAGAGAGAGGACAGCGGAGAGAAAGGTGCGCAACCTACGGCAGCCAGGAAGCAGGGCATGAAGGGCGGGACCAGAAAGAGATTTGCTGTTCCGGGTCACGTGCAGTGACCACCTCCTCCAACCAGGCCCAAGCTCCTAGCGGCACAGTTAGCTATGAGCTCCTGTGTGGATTTCTCCGCCGGTGAATACGGCAGCCCCATGATCCGGTCACCTTCCAGTAGCCCGATGTTTGAACCTATGAGCCTTTGGAGAGCCACTCTAGATCTAAACCAAGTAAATCTTGGGTACCACATAGTCCAGTTTGGGAGTAGAAATATTGTTTAGCGGCCAAAGAGTAAAAATTAAAAAAAAAGAAATTTCAATATCTACTCACCTCTCTCATAGAAATATCCAGTTCATAACTCATAGCACCACGTTTAAAACCACTTCCCCAGTTCCTCTCACCCTTGCACGTGGCAGCTGCCCCAGAGTAAACCCTTTCCCAACCTCCCCACGAGCTGCAGTCTCTAGTCAAGAACCAAGCTGTCAGTTCTCCTGTTCTCTTGGCTGTCCTGTTCAGCCCCAATTTTTCTTCATTTATCCCACACTGAGTCCAGTGGGCAGGAGGACAAGGCAGGATGGCGCAAATGCTAAGTAAAAAATGCAGACGTTTATCTTTATAGAGACGGCAGGGAATGATGTTGGAATGGTATATATGCACATCAGTCCTACTGTCCCTGTCAAAGCAGCAATCTAGATCACAGCATAAACAATGGCAGCAAGCTTGACAGACTGAGACGGACTTCCTTATGCTAGGAGAAAGTAATGTACAAAATGGCCAGTGACATCCTAAAGCAGCCTGTAGCCAAGGTAGAAGGAGCCCATTCCCCGTACCAGTGCCTTTCACCCCTGGGGCAAAGCCAGCCGTAGCACAACCCCTGGTGCACATAAGGGAGCTCTCGGCAGCAGAAAACCACACCAATTTGGCATTTTGGCAAGGTCTACTATCAACAACAACACACCTTTTGATTAGTTCTGGCTTTCCTTTAAGGATTCATCCTACAAATGACCTCAAACATAAACCCTAAGATGCATCTGCTAGGATATTCTTTATAACACTATAGAAGCAAAAGGCTAGAAACTGAGTGCTCAACAAGGGATCCTGGTAAAAATACAATGGTGCCTTCCTGCAGGGGCTTGCTATAGTGTGTCTCTTTGTGCTGATACAGGAAAATCTCCAAGGTAGGTTTTGAAATGCAAAAGTGACGTGCAGAAGTTTTTGTAGTCTGCCCTCGGTATCTGTAGTTTCCAAATCTGCGGACTCAACCAACCAGGGATGGAAAACATTCAGGAAAATAAAAACTGAATGCACACATACTTAATTTTTCTCATCATCATGCCCCAAATAATACATAATAATAATAATTTGCACAGCATTTATATTGTATTAGGTATAGTAGGTCACCTACAGATGATTTAAAGAATGTAAGAGAATGTGAATAGGTTCTATGCAAATACAATCCCATTTCCTATAAAGGATTTGAGTGTCTGCAGATTTTGGTGTCCACAGGGGATGTAAGACAAATCTCCCATGTTTACTGAGGGGCAAATACATTTGATATGCTTAAATTTGTGTTTTTCAAATTGTTTGACATATTTTAAATTAGCATAGTTTGCATTTATTCTTGTCAGGCATAAAAATATATCAGGAAAAATTTACAAGGAGTCACTGGGAATGGTCAAGCCTTAGCAGTGGGGTGGGATGAAGGTGGGAAAGAAACCTTTTTCCCTGCGTGGCTTTTGATGTTTCTTTTTCCATAAGCCTGTCTTTATAGTGAAACTTTTTCTTTTCTGGGAGAAAATTGTACTCGTTTGAAAATAGACCCAGATTCAAACCCTGTGCCTTCACTTCTTAGCTGTATGACCTTAATAGTTCCTCTCTTAGATCTTTGTTTTCTACCCATAGAAGGAGAACAAGAATCCAGACATTGCCTGGTTGTGAGAAATAAGTGCAATCATGTACACAAAATGCCCTGCCTGCAACTGGGAGATCATAGATGCTTAATAGATGGTGGTTTTGCTGTTTTGTCTTCAAGTCTTGCTGACCATGCAAGTCAAAATGCTTTGGCCCTGTATTTGATCCCTCGTCTTCATCTTCCTCCCTCAGAAGTATGTCTGCCCCTGAGCTTAAAGTCCCTTTACCTTCCAGACTTTCACCTCAACAAGTTTGTAACTTTTTCCAGCAAATTTTCTACCCAACTCTATTTGACCTTGGAAACTACAGTGGGACCTATCAGTGGCTGGGCCTTCGCATCCCTGCTCGGGGGCCACAGTAATAGGATCTGGGATGTGTTGGGCACAGTCTATGCACTGGATACTTTCCAAACCCATAGTTCATGCAAAAACTTGGAAACGGAAGGCTTGAGATCCTCGCTGTGCACAAGGGAGCTGAAGGCCAGCAAAGTGGGAGTAAGAATCTTGCTAAGAACTGGGAATCAGGGAGCTGCCTTCCTGCCCTGCCTTTTGTATTCTT